TATGATCTTGTTTTGTTGTGTGACGTTGTGTTGTGATATTGTGTTGTGTGATGTTGTTGTGTTGTGATGTTGTGTTGTGTGATGTTGTTGTGTTGTGATATTGTGTTGTGTGATGTTGTGTTGTGATGTTGTGTTGTATGATATGATCTTGTTTTGTTGTGTGACGTTGTGTTGTGTGATATTGTGTTGTGTGATGTTGTGTTGTATGATGTTGTGTTGTGTGGGTGAGCAGTATGCTCAGATCTTTCTGAGGGTACAGGTTCATTGTATTGTGACACACTGAATGCTACATGAACATGCTGTTTCTTTTCAGGAAGTGACATCATGTTGCTATGGAAACTGGAAAAAGTCAAAGTGTCCAAACCTGAAAAAGGTCCAAACCCTGCGACTCCATCAGGTCAAACGGTCGGATGACCCCATCCTCCTTGATCAGACGCACTGGCCGAAGTTTGGTCACTTCCTCCGTCGACTCCGCCGCTCTGACGTCACAACACAAACACACGACTGTTAGTACTTGCTTGAGCTGCTGCCCACCTCCACCTGAGTCTGACTATAGAAGGTTCTGATTCTGCTGGGTCGGGTCTGACTCAGACCTGAAGCACATTCAGAGGTTCAGTTTTAATGCACATCATGCGGCAGGCAGCTTTAGTCGGGTTCAGGTCTCACCTGTGGGGGACTCTACAGTGACAGCATGAAACAATAACTCAGCAAGTTATCATGAATCAATGGCTCACCTGACAGAGGGGGCCTCACTGTGGGGAGGGGGAGGGGCTTGTTGGGAAAGGTTTTATGAACAAAGAGAGGCAGATGAGGGGAGAACCAGAAGGGTTTGAAGTGTAAACTCTTGTGATGGTGTGATGAATGGGGTGTAACGATACGTCCACGTCACAGTTCAGCACAGATCAGTTACATACACAATACCTCTCCCTTGCTACTAGGCACTAAGGAAGTACGTTTAGCAGAGCAGGCTACCTTTACTCTTCCTCCTCTGCAGCTGTCTGTTGCAGAGCTTTATCAAACAGCTGATTTAAAAACTAACCATTATTATTCTGAACCAAGCACGCTTTGTTTGAGTATCTTCTGGTCTCTTGTTTCTATTGTGGCTGTTAACAAATCAGAGTAAATCAACACGTGCCGATGACCCCCGTCACTGAGGGATTTGAATAGTGAATGTTTTTGTTTGTTTTTCTCTGTGTTCCAGTGAAGACAGACGTGCCCTTTTCTGCTCCGTCTCCCCGCATCCCTGCTTTGCTCTCTTTCGTCTTGTGAACCCTTCAAAGAGCCTCTTTTTTTTCCTGCATACCTTCCTAATTCGAAGGATTTTGATCAGCTCAACAAAATTGATCGATTTCTCCCGACAGGAAGTCAGGGTAAGGAGGACCCTCTTACCTATAGAAATAAATTGGATTCATGATGACATCTAGATTCTGCTGTTTGGGTTGGTGAAATCTGGATTGTCTACAAATTTGTGTGGAATGTGTCGAAGATTGGCAGCACTCAGACTGAATTACGTGGAGCTGTGTCAGAGAGCTGGAGCAGGCTGTTATCAGGACTGTGAACTCTCTAGCAGCACACATGAATGGTGGGAATAATCTTGAAGAAGCTGTAAGCTCGACTTTTGGCGCAAGGAATCAATTCGGCTGTTTGGAGTCACCATCAGAGAAATGTACTGTACCAGCGAGACTTTAAAAGGCAGAAATGGCAATTTACGAGTTTTGCCTGACCCAAACTGTGGCCTTGACGGTGGACTTATCTCAATACCTCCTGGCATGTTTAGGAAAAACAAAGATGCTTTGTCTGTCTCTTCACCCCTCCCTTCCCCAATGCCGTGGACGTGACGGAACCTCAACTGAGCTGATGATAACAAACACCTCTTATCTGGACAATGGTTTTGGGGGGGGGGGGGGGGCGCTCTGGACTATGCTACGACCTTCCTTAAAATTCAATGCCTTCACCGACATATATGTATCATGTCTATTTATGATGCTTTGCTGTGGTAGGTTTTTTGATGCCTCAAACTGTGCCCTGTCTAGGACACGGTGTGAGAGATCTTTTTGTTGTACCTTCTCACCTCATGTTCTATGTCATATAGGCTTCGCCCTTTAAGGCTGTCGCTGATGGGTTTATCCCGTTATGCGTAGCATAAGCACTGAAAAAATGTAGTCCACGCCCACCTGCTGTGTGGGCCCCACCCGGTCCGTATAAATTACGTTAAGAGCGGGAAATCGGCTCCCATTTTTTCTTCAGCGAGCTAAAATAGCACTGTCAGAAGAACAAAGAAGATAAATTGTGTAAATGACCAACCTTTGTTAAGGATGCTTGGCCCGGCAGTCGACCTCGGGTCGTCCGGTGAGTTCTCCTCCCCGAGGAGAAGATGACGAGCAGTCTTATTCCAAGGTAAGCGCTGGGGAACATTTCCCAGTGACAGGTCACTACACGCTGGACAACGCCATCTTGTATTTTTTCCTCTTATCGCCGACCCTCGGGGCGAACCGGATGGTTCCTCCGGGACAAGGCGTGCTCAGCTGCAGCCCCCGCTGCTCATTCCCTCCTGGGGAGCGTAGTGTAGGTGGAGGGGGGCTGAGTGAATGCTCACCCCCTCCCACCTCGTTTAGCATCGGCGATCACACCGCTCCCGGCCGACAGCGCCCTCACGGTTGCCCGGTGGAACCCAGGAGGAGGCTGACATGAAGGGACCCCTCTTTTCTACGTCCCACGCCTTTTCCCGCCAGTTCGGATGATCCAGCGGGAAGGTTGTTTCACTGGGCTCCACTCTGGCTCACCGTCTTGATCCATACGGCCTCGTTTTCCAACAGGACGTTCGACGGGCGAGGCCACAGACGGTTCTTTCCTGGTAGATTGGGGGAGTCGGTCCCCAGTCCGCACCCATCACCAGAGTTGAGGGATTCACCGAGCGGGGCTATTCCTCGGTAACCCCCCTGGAGCCAAGCCTCGCGGAAGCTTTCGGAGCGAAGCTGCCCAGGTCGGAGCAGCGTCCCGTCCCTCCGGAGGAACACGAACCAGACGGTGACCACGCTCTCCAATCGAGCCCACCAATGTGTTCTTCAGGCAGCCGCAGCTAGCAACAACGTGGCGCTGCTAGCATATAGCATGTCCAAGGGACTGAAGGCCGCAGACCTGCCTTGGAGACAAAGAACTCCTTCTGTAAGGCAGCTGACGCCAGCTCAACATGTGTGCCTCTCCTACGGTTTGCCTGTCGAGGATTGCAGCGTGGATGACGATGATCCAACAATCCACCTGGCTTCGTTACTCCCCTCGCTGCCAGAGAAACTGCACAAGACCTGATGAAGCTCATCGCGGACGCGCTGTTCAGAGCAGCTTCAAACCATGCTGGCGAATTGAAGCAGTCGGAGGAGGTGCCAGAGGCTGTGCGCCACCTCATCAAGCCGCGCGGCTCATCCCGGCCCGCTGGAGGGACCGTCGCGAGCAAGCTTCGACTTTTCCACGGCCGCGGCTCTCGCTCAGTTCCACCACCAGCCCCGCCCGTCAGAATCCAGCCCTCTTCATTCCGGCAACCTGCAGCTTAGCGTTTCCCCAGAGTTCGCCTGCAAGACAGCGCTCTGGGCAAACAATCGCAGAGCTCATGAGAGAGAAGTTTTTTTAAAATGACGGACTCCGGAGGGTGTGTGTAAAAGTGACACGAAAATTGAAATAAATCATCATTTAATGATCAAAGTGTCTGTTTTTTAGCCAGTCTGTAAGCTCGGATGAGCTCACAGCGGCCGCACACATAAGGAGCCGGTGTCCTTAAATAAAGGTTTTTTTAAACTCACCGCCGCTCCAAGACATGACGAGTCGCTCACACGGCACGATGGTAAGCGAAAAATAACTCGTTATCAACTAGAGCTGCACGATTCTCACTCAAGCGGTACCAAACTCGCTCTCGTGGGATGAAACAGCCCCCACACATAAGGAGCCGGTGTACTTAAATAAAGGTTTTTTAAACTCACCGCCGCTCTAAGACATGACGAGTCGCTCACACGACATGATGGTAAGCGAAAATAACTCGTTATCAACTAGAGCTGCACGATTCTCACTCAAGCGGTACCAAACTCGCTCTCGTGGGATGAAACAGCCTCCACACATAAGGAGCCGGTGTCCTTAAATAAGGGTTTTTTAAACTCACCGCCGCTCTAAGACATGACGAGTCGCTCACACGACACTATGGTAAGCGAAAATAACTCGTTATCATCCCGAGCTGCACGATCCTCACTCAAGCGGTGTCAACTCGCACTCGTGGGATGAAACAGCCTCCATCCAACGGCGCTGCGTTGATGTTGGCGCACACACACAGCTGCCCGGCGCTAACCGGCTCACCCCGAACCCCTCCATTCAGAGGAGTTATAAAACGGTCCTGTCATCATCAGACTAAATCTCATCCCTAAATGCAGAAGTCCAAGTGTTTCTGATAAAAGTAATCTACAGAGTCTCCCAACGGAGAGAAAACACAGTGTTTTACTCACGGATCGGAGGGATGAGACCGTTTTTTGGACCTGTTGTACAACATCCAGAGAACGCATACCGATCATCCCAAAACACAGAGACAAGAGTTTTTGTTTTACCTGGATGACTTGCTGCTCCTGTCACTCCAGACAGGAGGCGCTGATGCAGGATCAGGTGTTGACATCACACCTGTTAAATCTGGGCTTCGCCATAAATTGGAAGGAAGCTTGATTTTCCCAGCCCACACGATTGTTTATCTGGGAGTGGAATTAAATTCAACCACCATGAAGGCTCGTTTATCACAAATGAGATTCGACACTTTTAAAAGTCAACTCCGCCACGTAAGACCTGGCAAGTGATAACAGCTGTCTCCGTCATGAAGCTGTTGGGAATGATGTCATCAGCTCACACAGTGGTTCTGCTGGGTTTGTTACACATGAGATGCCTCCAGAGGTGGTTTGCGCGTCTGCGTGTGGATCCAGTAAAACAAAAACGACGGATGATCATTGTCCCTCCCTCAGTGAGAGCAGACCTCCGACTCTGGGGAAACACTCTGGTTCTGTCAGAGGGAGTTCCCGTCAGCAGTCCCACGTCACACGTGTCAGTCTTCACGGACGCGTCGCTGTCAGGTTGGGGGGGGGACATGCCTATCCCAAGCAGTAGGGGCGCTGTGGCCCCCACCACACATCAGCCCACATCAATGTTTTGGAGTGTCGCACAGTGCTGAATGTGATTCAACACTTTGCTCCTGTGCTACAGAATCAACACGTGTTGATTCACACAGACAACATGGTGACTGCTGCGTACATAAACCGCCAGGGTGGTGTGCGTTCAGCCCAGATGTTACACATTGCGCGAAAGCTACTGTGTTGGGCTCACCGAAACCTGCTCTTCATCAGAGCGGTTTACATATCCGGTGTTCTGAACAGAGGGGCAGATGTGAGGTCCAGGGGCGGCCCACATCACGCGGACTGGACCCTCCATCCAGACCTGATGTTTCAGATGTGGCAGGAGT